ACTCTCTGAAAGGAGAAATCAGCATGCCCTGTTTTACCAAGTCAGAGGAACTAAATGGGCAGTGGACTCCAGTCCTGCAAGTGGTGCCACTGTTATCCATGCACTCCAAACCAGGCACACCATGTGACAGTCTGGGGTTATCCCGGAGGACTTCTGGAGCGACACAACACCTCCCTCTTCCTACAAGGGAAGGGCAACAACCCCAGACGCTCAGGGTGCGGTGCGCCAGAAGGTCACCGCCAGGACAGTCCTGCCAGCCCCACCTGCCAGAGGGTTGTTCTCTGCTCTGTTTGCCAGGAACCTGCCTTCATTTCCCTGCACAGCTGGAAATTGTTCAGGGCTGGACGGAATTAGCACACGGGCACAGATCTACCATATGTTCAGGTTTCCCTAGACTCAACCTGTTTTTCTGCCTGGAAATTAAATGCAGATGGGATTTCAGGTCTCTGGGACATCCGTTGTGGATCCCTGGACAAATGACTGCTGTGCAGGAGCGGACCAGTGCACATGCAGTTATCTGGGAAATCCCAGACAGAAATATGGAAATCAGGCATGTTGAACCACACCATTTTATCCTTCTTGAGAAGAGGGAGAGTGATCAACAGTAGAGAAGCCTTGTGTTTTGTCGAAGTGACACAGCCTTGGGAGACTTTTTTCCGCCATTCAAGCCTCACCTTCAGACACTGGGCATGCACATGGGCATTACTTGAATCCTTGCACAACGAAATGTAGCAATTACTGATAATTTGAGCCTCAACATGCGCAGCAATGCAGTGTGCTAGCTCTAGGTTTCTACTCCATGTCTCAGCTGACAGGAGTAGTAGAATGGCCTGAGTCGGCCAAGAAGCAGAAAAACATCAACACTGTGTGATCAAGGGGACCCTTGAGGGGTGGAAAAGGTCAAGAATTCCTATATCCCAACCCTGGCTGTCACTGCAACTGTGGCAAATTAACTCCTCTGTCCTCATCTGTAGAATGGAGATACAACTCACCTACCTCACAGGAGAGGACAGAGCTAATTGCCAGAGACAATTAAAGACTTGGCCCCAGAACTTACTACATCAAGAAATTAGATAGCAAATGAAGCAAGACTCCACAAGTGTCACTGATCTTTGACATCTGGAGCTTCCAGCCCACTGAGGTCTTAACAGCAGCAGTATTTAGTCTGACATGTAGATGTTCCTCATGGTAAGAGCTTGCCATATCCAATAAAAGTGCATCTGAACAGTTCAGGAGACCAGGAGCCTTGCCTTTCTGTCTGTCTGAACAGCACCTACCAAGCTGATGGGTCCTGAGAAATAAGTAATGCACCACCGTAAAGCACATTTGTATTCATACATGCCTCATTTTTCCAAGCAGTAATCAAGAGTATAATGTTACCTATGATCGAAATGATTAGTCATGTTTCCAAAGATTAATTTACATGTTCTTTTGTTTAATGCATATGAACTGATTTAATGGCTGCTTATGAACTGAGCTAACAGTCGTTTTGAGAAACAGATGTCCGATGCAGTTTTAAGCATTAAGAGTACTTTTATTCATATCCTTAGGAGAAAAAGGGCTACACAGTTTACAGTAATAACACTAATGAATCAAAGTACTACAGCTGCCCAACAGGGTTTTGACAGAAACCAGCTTTTTCTCAAAGGAATTTTTTTTTTTTTTTAGGACTCTGGGACAGTGAACAATCAGTAATACACATGCTTCACAGGTAGGCATGTGTTTTGCTGGAGCCAGAACACTGAATTAAGCCCTATCTGCAACCCAACAATGTGAGGCTTTTGCATAAGCACTGAAAACTGTAACTACACAAAGACAGGGCAATCTGTATGGAATCTGGATTCTTCACATTTTATACAAATAAAGATTTGCAAGTTTCTGATACTATTTTGTGACACTGAATGTAGAACAGGTTTTCTGCTTTAAACCCCGATAGATTATTGTGTGTGGGTGGTAGGGTTGGGATAAAAGAAAGGGAAGAAAGCTACTAGGAAAGCAGTTGGTGACTGCAAATCTATGATAAATAAACAGCACATTCCTCTTCTGCATGAAGCCATTAGAGTCTGTGTCAGACTTTACCATCCTAACGTCATCTGGGTGCAAATTTGACGGCCTGGGGTTCTGCGATGCTCCCTACGGAAAGTAGATCTGGAGCAATTTGCCATGCCCCAACAGAGCATTTCTGTCAAGTTCCTGAGGAGCATCTAACACACCAGTTATTCACAGGACCCTTGCAACGAACCACGGGTTTGATATTTTATGGTCTGGTGTGTACAGTGCAGGATATGATTACACACAAGTCTGCTTCCCATCAGCCAGCACCTCGTAATCATTAACATTTATCCTTGTGGTGCCTCAAGAAGATGACATTGTTATTAGTCCCATTTTATAGATTCAGAACTGAAGCTCAACAGCTAAATGACTTGCCTTTGATTACACAAGATTTACAGTGAAGGACAGAACTGAGTCCCAGCCCTACCAGACCCAAGCAAGGATCATACCAGAAGGACTAGATCGATGTGCAGAGCTGTCCTTCATCTCAGGTGCTTGTAAGTCTTATGAAACCACTATATTTGCACTGGGTTTTGTGCCTTTCGTGTCTCAGCCTTTGCCACTGCAGGTTCCTCTAGGGAACATGAATGTACATACGCTACTACATGCAAAAGCTGAAGTCCTGAGTTACATCCCTCTGCAGCAGATGGAGACGAGAGTCTCCAGATCATGCTCATGTACTTAATAGCATGTTGAGCAAGTTTGCTCAAATGCGTAAGACATGCTGAGACAGTGTACTAAGAAAGGCTGAGACCTAATGAGATCTTCCTCTTCTGCTTCATCGATACCACACTGTGCTGGAAAATACATTGACTGGTAAGTTTTAGTCACAGTACGGGTAATCATCAGGTCTGATTTAAGTACCAGTTAGTTAGAGGTTGTGAATAAATGCTACTTTCTGGCACAAACCACCCCTCTCAGTATGGTCAATGCATTGAACAAGTCCCATTGTATATGCTACAGGAATTGAAGAAGCCACTGCACAAGTAGAAAAAGAACTCTTCCAAACTCCTCTCAAAGTAGTCAGTAAGATGGAGGAAGAAAGTATTAGCACATACTGCTGTTTTAAGTTAAGATCTCCTCTAACCCTCCGACACCAACTATCACCGAAGCAACCACTGGCAAGACACACAGCTGACAGCTCTCTTTCCTTAACTGAATTGCTGTTACGGAGAAACAGGCTATCAGTTTCTACAGTGGTAACCATAGACCTCAGAGAAATGTATTGATCTTCTAGGAGGCAAACACTGGGAACCAGCCATTCCTACTGCTCAGGCTTCAGGTAGGGTGAGTGCACAGCTGCTACAGGTAAGAGAGATTTGCAACAAAGAGCACTGCCATGGATTTGAGGCTCTGAGTTTGACCTGCCTTCCTCTCTGTCTCAGAACAGTTGAAAACCCAGGTAAATATTTGTGTGCTTCATCTTAGACCTCTGCTAACCTTTCACCACTCTGTCTTGAGCGTATCTCTGTTTATCTTACCCTGAATAACGTAAAGCTTCCTTATCTAAGCAACAACTGCCTTCCAGCATTAAGGCTCACCCATCAGCTGCCTCCCTGACCTGATGTGCACCCCAAATGTTTCTGGTTGTCCCCAACCACTGCAAACTCAGAGCTTTTACTGGGCATGCAGATTCATGCATGAGTCCAGCATCTGTGCGAAGTCCTGCTCAATGCTTTTGAGCCTTCCAAGGCTGGGTGTGATTCGTACAAATCAGTGTTATCATTTTATTTTTTTTGGTGGAGCCAGTGAGACCAACCAATGGTCCAACAGGATGAACCTTCGGGCACGGAAGCGCTATCAAAATCTGAGTCCGGTGAGAATGTGGTTCCATATAACTACCATATAGCAAAAGTAAGATCATACCTAAAGCAATAATAAAGCCACTTGAGATTTTTTTTTTTATAAGCACCAATATCTCGTATTACTTACTAGTACACAGCATCATCAATAGACACAGAAGTTACCCACAAAATGGAACACAAAAGGACATCAGGGTCCTAACTAAGTATGAGGAATATTTTTCTCACGAAATGCTTGAGTCAAGAAAGAAACACGAATTGAAACAGAGCAGGATGCTGTTCCTGCCTGGCACTACAGGCTGATTTCATGATGATCTTTGCTCTTGGAACAAGAAAGCACAAATGTTCATCGGAGACTAGGAAACCAAAGGAAATACCAAGATGAAAGACTGCAAAGATGCATGCCTTTCTGTATCATTTAGACAAAAACATTAAAACTTATGGGAAAACATTTAACAAGCAACTGAAATAAGCCTAAGAGGGGAAGGGGAGAAACCCAAAAATATGGAAGTGCAGGTACCACAGATGCCTTGAAACCACCAGTAATTTCCTGTAGATTCACTGAAGTCAGAAGTTACAAATGAGGAGGCCCACCTAGTCCCACTTAAATCACCTGCTAGTCTACAGGCTATTAGAGACCAGGGTGGTATTGGCATGTAATTACTGCAGTAACTACCTGCTTAAGCAAGGCAAGATCAAAGTTACCTCAAAAAAAAAAAATCAATATTTTAAACAAAAGGTTTGTAATTATGAGCTTGAAAACAAAATGCTTGGGCAAAAACATCAGCAAACACTCATCTATGCCACCTAGCCCTTTGGATACTGTAGTACTGTTCCCCACAGTACATTTTATAGGGCTCAGTCCAGTCTGATTTCAAACACTGCACACAGTGAACAGAGACAGAGTCACTTTGCATTAGCCAGGTTTGTCCAAAACTCCTCTCAAAAATCTCTTCTCCTGAGTACTAGCCCATTAACCCAACCTGAACAACTCTCTTCCTTCTATCCTTGTGCTTTGCAAGTATTTGCTACTAGCCTCCCTCTCCCCTTGCCAATTCTTTTCCTATCCAGCTTTAACTTTGTTTTCCATGCTGAGCTCTTTAGCCTCCCTCCTCCCACCAACTGAGGGTATAGGGTGAAACTTACGGTGCTCGGTCGTGGTTCAACCCATTCTGTCTTTGTGCATTTATCGGAGGTAGAACAGGTTTGCTGTTGATCTCAAGCCCTCTCCGCAAAGTCTCCCTGATTTGCTCTGTATCTGCAAAGAGAATTTTTTTTTTAAACTTGATTTAGAGTCCCCAGAAACATCGCAGACACAAGGAGATGTCAGCTTCTCTTTAAAAGGCCTGTTTCTACAGTGTGTTTCATCTAAACTCTTCCCTTTCAGAAAGAAATGAAGAGATGCTAAGGGTGAACAGCTCTTCCTGCACCTACGAGTTACTTCACTTCATAAAGTCAGCTTGAATTCTCTTGGTTTGGGCTGTGATGTTATGTCAGGCAAGGAGAGCTGGAACCTTTGGTACTGACCCCTCCTGATGAGGAAACTCTGAGTAGTTTTGTATCCTTTCATAAATGAGGTGTTTACTGTTTCTGCAGCTTTCACAGAACTGCCTGACACTTCCAGCCTTTGCACTGGAAGTCACTTTTCCCATTAGGCATTAACAGGAATTTGTTCCTTTACCAAATGAGTGCAAGGAGGTTCCCGAGTTTTTGCAACTGGCTTTTCAAATCTGTTGATTAATTTACAAGAAGATTGACCAAAGAAAGGAATTTTATGCAGGGCAAACTTTAGCGTCAAGCTCTCATTTGAAAATAAACTGCAAATTATGCAGTTCAGATGCAGTCTTTTTACTCTTTCATTTTCCTATAATGTCTAATGGCCAAATATTTTATTAGGATACTTTCCTACCTTTCTTGTAAGTTTCCTCATCTTTTTTTTTGAGAAATGTGGGAATCATGTAGAGAAATAAATATCCAAATTATTTCAAAATCTTTTAAAGGATATACAAATATCACCAGGTATACCTGTCTTGGGCCTTTCATTTGCAGAGCTGAAGGAAAACAGCCTTTTTAGATCCAGTGCAGTTAAAAATACTTGAACAGAAGCCAGAAGGAACTCTACATGCATTTGAGTATTTTTTTTTTTTTAACCATAGACTTAAACCCAAGATAGATACCATTCCTGTGGAAACCATCATTAATTCCAGGAAATCTCAAGACCTCAAATTTTACATTGCTTCACCCATTTGAAAGATAACATGCATAATTTCAAGCATGTGTAATGGCTATGACATCTGTACCCTGAGATGGCATCTCACTGCTGAGGGGAACTCCACCGTATTTTATTTCTTCCCAGAGTTCCGTATTTGCAAGAATCACTTGAGTTCAGCTACAGCAACGTGCAGTGTCAGTCCAGCTTGCCACCCAAGAAGTGACAATGTTAATAAGGAAACATAGCCTGGGAAAATGCAGTTACTTCACCTCGCAGGTGTTCACAGTCCTGGTTTCACCCAGCACTCAGTTTAACTTTGCAGATTTAGATTAGAAATAGCCTAAAAACTGAAAGAAACATTTAGACAAAACAATGCAAAGATCTCTTTTTCCTCTCTCTTGCCTTCCTCAAAGAGGCCACACCAAAATGCATTTCACTCCCCTGAGACGTACTGAGCCTTCCAGTAACTGTGGTGTTTGTTATGAACCCCAAGACGCTGCATGACTCAGCCCACTGCCCAGACCCATGAGAAGACAACCCAAAAGGCGACGACGGTGACTCGGCCCAGGACCTCCTACCTTTCCCGGAGAGCCGCCGCGGCTGGGTCCCAATGCAAATGCTCCTGCTGTCTTCGTCATCCTCCGGAGGCCGGCTGAGATCATCCCAGGCACATTTGGCACTCACTCCACTCAGATTTGAGCCATCTGTCTCAATCCCTTTGTCGACTCTCTCCTGCTTGAAAAGATCCAAATACCCAAGACTTTTTTGGGTGTGGCTTGAACCTGAGCTGGAACCCACTCTGGCTCAACCCAACCTTCAGCAGCTCCTGCATATCCCCCTCTTTGCGGCCAGTTTCCACTCTCCGGTTGCGGTGCTTTGATGTATCAGCTAAGGGTGACTGCACATTAAGCCAAACCAGGGAGGTAGTCTGAACTGGAACAAACGTTTTCCGTAGCAGGTTGGTCTGAACTTCCATCCCTTCCTCACCACTTCACTATGTGGCCCTGGTGGGCACAAAGCAGGGAAAGACAGAGGTGGAAATCAATGGCCTGGGGTATGCAGGGCTGCTTCTTTCAGTGTTAGCTCTGGTTTACACCAACTCAAAGTATTTATGCCTCTACATTACACGCTCCTGTATGAAGCACAGCTTGGAAGTCTACCTGTTGTATGTCAATGATAACAAATCCCTGAATAACTAAACAAATTCTCCTTCCGAGCTTACCAACGAGTCCCACAATGAAAACAGATCACAGAGAGACTCATCATTCACAAAGTTCACAATTTGCAAACTGCCCAGACAACCACTGCTTTGCAATGTGCTGGGGTGTTCAGTAAAGGACACAGCAAGGAGGCACAGGTCTGTTCACAATGTCAAAGCTTTTGCACAGCTTTCGCTATCAGCAAAACACACAAACTCTCTCTCCTGTGCAAGCTGGACTTTCCAAGCATGTAACCAATGCTTGGGTCTAGGAAGGCATTCCACACCAACCACAAGCAGCTAGATGCTCTCAGACACCATGCATTTTCTCAAGGACATGGGCATCTGTTGCCAGCAAGACTGCCCTAAGCTACACAGCCAAAACTCCCACAGGACACCTACCTGCCAGGGGAACTGGCATTACTCTGAATTTCCACCTACGTCCCACAAGAGGGTAATGTTGAGCTGAACAAACTCGGGGCTGAGCAACACCGAGAAAGGGCTGCTCTTGCCGCTGTCAACTCTCCACTGGCACTGAATCAACCGGGCGCATTTTACCCTCTTCTGAAGGGGTGTCACTTCTGGTACCACTCAGTGGTACTAGCAAGATCTCCAACTCACTGCTAACATCAAGGTCACTTCTGGATAGGTGGTAAGTCTCACTGCTTGCGGGACAGAAACTTTGAAGATTTGAGGAAAGAGCAGAGCTGTATTACGCACAACGGGAGCGGATCTCTCTGCTCGTTATCACTACCCTCCAGTTTGACCTTGCCACTGGAGTCAAGAGACCGTGGGAGCATCCAGCACTTTGCAAAATCTGTTCCCTAAGAAGCAGTTTTCAGACTAAACCCCACATACGTTCCTCCCCTTGCCCAGCAGTGCATACTGCGCCCTAGAAAGGGCATTGCCTGTTCTTGTGACCATTGAAGAGAGGATTTTTGCAGCTCAAAGATAAGCTCAAGTACTCAGGGTGTGGTTGCACAGCAGTTTAAGGCTACGTAATTCACAGTGGCTGCAGTCCCACCTTCCTCCATGTTCTCCTACCCCTTCCCTTGAGCCAATTTCTATTTTTTTTTTTCCCCCAGCTGGATCACCTCCCTAAACTGGCTCTTTGGCCCAAGAGGAGAGGCAGAAACCTGTGACTGGGGGCAGGACCAGAGCAGTCCTGACTTAGATTTATGCATTCAAGAAACTGCCTTCCTTCTGCCTCTCTCCCAGCTCCTTGTTAGGATCTTCCTCTGGCGTTAGGGAAAACTGGCTTCTATGAAAACATAATGGGAAAAATCTAAGAAATAATAAATCTGCTGGGATTTTCTTTTGTTATATCCTAATCATAAAATTAGTTGTTTCACCCAGAAATAGAAGTTATGGAAAAAGAAATAAAAATACATTCAATCTTGCATATGCAAACGATGCTCTAAGTGAGATTTAGCAGGAGGCTCCTTCGGGAGCCCTGTGCAGCGCTCTGCGAGGACCCACATCAACTGGCGTGGGGAGGTTTAACTTGTCAGCAGAGTTATTTTTCATTCCACTGACTGGAGAAGCATGGGAGAGCCACCAAACTTGCCCTTGAGCAGGGAGCAGAAGAGCCCAGAGGGCACTGAGGACTCCATCAGGCATAAGCTCTAGTGGGACGTGCTTCTCAATCCCTGCAGCCAGGGCCCCCGCTCACAGACACAGTTGGGGCCTCCGGATGGTGTGCAGAGCCTTGGGGAGGGGGAAAGGGACTCGTCATCTGCATCTCAGCTGGTTTGCAGAGCACTTCCTCAGGCGAAGAAGTGCTGCTCTGTTGGCATCCCTTGGAGATCAAGGGGGCCTGATGGAAATAAGCTGGCCTAAGGCAGCCTAATTTGCATGCCTGTTTTATAACATTTGCAAGTATTGATGTTGGAGGGGGAAAAAAACTCAAAAAAACCCTAATCAATCCAGACTCTCAGCTGGGGCAATGAACAGATTTACCCCATCTTTAGCCAGCAAAGATGTGTCTGGGCTGCAGGGCTGTTCTTCCTCCCTTGAAAGGGCAGCTTGAGCAGGAGGTTGGAGGAGCCCAGGGCAAAGGAGGTTCAGCTTTTTCCTTCCTCAAAGAAAGGATGTTTCTGTCGCATTTTCCTCTCAGCATGTGGGAGGGATGCTCTGAGGCTCTTATAAGTCATTGATCCCTTTCTAAACAAGCCAGAGCACTGCAGTGTGACCCACAGAGCGGCAACCACAACTCAGGAAATTCAAATCAGCTTTATTCTCTTCTGAGATATCTGCTGAAACAGAAGCAAAGCACTGAGAATCAGTGCAGAGCTGGGGACCGACAGGAATTGTTTGACAGTGCTGCCAGGGAAATCTGAATGGCCTACCGGGAAGCCTGGCTGAACAGAAAACAGCCAGCATTGCTACAGCGTTAATTGCTGACATCCTGGGATGACATCTTAGTTGGGATCCATTCTCAGCGACTCCGAACAGAAAGTACAGCTGCTGCTGCCAGGGCTGGGTTTAGGCCTCAACTAATTCCCACAAGAGACAATGCAGCCTCAAAACAAGCTCTGCCTGCTTCCCAGGCAAGCAATGTGCTTGCCTGCTCCAGGGAAAGTTGTCCAGTTTCTCTGCCTGCTCTCTCCCTCCCCTCCACCTATCTTCCACCGCTGCCCTTCGGCTCTCAGACACCCTATACCACCACCAAGAAAATGCCAAGCGCATGACGCTTTATCCTTTCCCCACTAATGAGAGCAGGAGGTGCATGCCGTGGCTGAATCCAGCCCGGCACAGCCTAGCTCTCCGTGCTCGGCAAAGGCTCTTTGCAGGACTCAGCGCCGCAGCAGCAGGTTTCACTCTGTGAATCCCCAGGGGCTGCAGCAGCCGGGCAAGAAGGAGGTACGGGCAAGAAGGAGGTACGGGCAAGAAGGAGGTACGGGCAAGAAGGAGGTACGCACACACACCCCTGCGCATACGCACGACTGCAAAGGCAAGAGAGAACAGAAACAGGAATGTCTTCAAAGTGAAGAAGTCCGGAAAGACCACAGACATAGCAGCTCCCAGTGGCAGGACACACTGGTGAGGCAGAGGTACTCTTTATTTGCCTTAACTTGCCTTGGCTGACTCAGATTCCAGTAAGCTGAGCTACTTTTCATTTACAGTAAATTGAAGAAAACCCTGTTATCATCAGGAATCACCAGTGTGGAGAGAACAGACAAACACCCTCCAGGAAGGGAGAGGGCAAGATTTTGAAGAGCCTAAAAACTTTATAGGACTTGCAGTTACATTAGCTCCCACACTGTAGGACGTTTGTGGAACACTTTTTTTGTGTGTCTCTCTCAGACTGGAGTTATTTTAGACGAACAAATCCTTAAGAACAGTAAAAGTAGAATTTGGTTTTGTTCTTAAGCTTTTAAAATAAAAGATGCTGTGAGGCAACTGAGGGTAATCAGATGCAGACATGCAGACCATAAACAAACGCAACAGCTTGTACAAAACGTGCACATATGCACGTGCCCTACCAGGCTAAGCCAGAAGTTCTCTGTTAAAGGCAAACACTCAGTTAATTCACTGAAACAAGGTCAGCACCACGCTGGATTAGCCCGGGACCCATGCACTCTACTACCATAACTCTGCTGAAGGGATGCAGAACCATCTCCCATGGCACAGATTAGCAGTAGTCCCGGGATGGTAACCCTTCCATAGAGGGCCTATTCTGATCTTTAAACTTCAGAAATTGAACTCTGAGGAAGGTGGTTTAATGTATCTTCCTGCATGGATTATTAATAACCGCATGAGATACTTTTGGCTTCCCATTATTTCTCAGACCACACTAACTACTTGGCCTCAGGTGACATCCTACAGGAATGAGCTACACTGTCACATTTGCTGCGAAAAGATATTATTTAGTTGGTTTTGAGTTTTCTGTATTGTATCTCCTTATCCTTGCATATAAAACCAAGGCGGAATTTCCTGATCTATCCTCTCTAAATCTTGTACTGTTCTATGTTCTTTTATCTTCTTCTATTTTCCTCCTTTCTAAAACACGTGATCCAAATCTTATCAATTTGTCCCATATATGAGATTCTGTTTTCCTGGTCTCTCTTCTCTAAATTTCTTCCTAGAGCTGCTATCCACCCGGGGCTGGACATATGCACTTTTGAACCACCTCTGAGAGAGCAAAGGGAGTCTCCAAGATTTTTCTGAGATTATTGCAGACACTGAGATCACAGCACCTTTACGGAAAATAATAAAACTGTTTTATACCATTAAACCAATTCTCCCTGGCCACTACAAAAGACATGACATTTTATAAACTGAAGACATACTTGCAGATGTGGGTCAATCTCAAATATTGTCTCTCCTCTTCGCATATCTGTTATCAACCAGGGGCCTCCAGCTCTACAAAGAAAGAAAGGTAATGAGCCAAACAAGAACTTGAGCCAGTACTCCCCAGAAAAGAGAGTGGACCTGTGCAGGAAGGAAGCACAAGAGAGAGTTTAAAACAAGCCTGCAAGCTCCTTTATGTTGCTTACACATCCCATAGCGTGCATTTGTCCTTTACATTTGCCAAATACATAATGAAAGCCCTCCATGACCTAGCTGTTATCTGCCTAGTGTCTGGCACCACCAAGTCTTGCAAAGCAGCCAGGACTGACGCAGGCTGTCCCCTGTGTGCACCCACTTACTCATACAAGACTGAACTGGGTTTTAATCTTACAGGTAACTGAATTGAGACTGAGAAGTCCAGTGTAGCCTACGTCTAAGAAAGACAGGCAAGGCATAGGGTCAAGACTTGTACCTCTATTACATATCTGAAGATGCAGCAGGGTCCCAATGGGACTGCACTTTTTGCTGAGATCAGCAGTCGTGTTCAGTACCATAAAAAGCTTATTGCTCTGACAAATATCCTCACAATAGACATTTTGCCCAGTTGTACTTAATGGTCGAGTACTCAGATGGTTCAGGAAAATCTTTGTTTTCATTAGCAATAAAAGCCAGAAGGGTCAAGATGTTTCCCAACAAAGGTGACAGAAAACAGATTACTGTGAAGATGAACTACTCAGAGACTTTACTTTGGGTCACAGTGCAGGCAGACCGCAGAAGTCAGGCTCAGATGGTGCTTTTCATGTGAAGTAAAAACTGAAGTCGTTTGGAATTGCTGTAAAAATTTTCATTTTTTCATTAGATACTTCGTTATTGTAGTCAAAAGCCCCCTCCTCTGGCCTTGTCTGTGTTACAGTCTCCTAAAGCACTTGGAGTGGGAGCTATAAAAGTTAATATTTTATAGCTTTTCAGATGCATCGATAGCCACTCTTTTTTCACATCACTTTGGAAGCTGTTAATTATTAACTGCAGAGGTGCCACTTGCTTCAGTCCCTCACTGGGATGCAAGAGACCCTGACTCCACATCAGTGGCTTAGTAGTTTGCAGCTTTGCCTTCAAACCATGCACATTTGGGTTTCATTTTATCCTTGGAAAGGTGCTTGTATCACAGCACAAAATCCAAAAACCAGCATGGGAAAAGACTGAGAAGGGTGCTATATCTGTATTGACTTACAGGAGCCAAGGGAGCTGCAGGCAGTGTTTATTGTCATGGGGTCCCAGAAACAAAGCTTGAAGCTGGACAAATTCACTCTACTCTAGGGCATTTGCATGAATTATCTGCCTAAAAGGGAAAAGTTCGAGTTTAAGAAGTCCAGCAGCAAAGGCTGGACTCTTCCAAATAATCAATCAACTAAAGGCCATTGTGACTCTGGAGAGTGTACTATTGTGCCCAGGAATACATATTCAGAACCATTTTGTTTAAAAAATTCTTTTGCGCTACAATCGTAGGGCAATAATTTCCACTAAATATAAGAAAAATTATTTAAACAAAACACAAGCCAAAAAAGTTTAGCTGCAACCTGGCAGCAAATAAAGCATCAACATATCATTTAACATTTAAAACCCATCTCATCCTTAACCCGACATCTTTGTCTTGCCACAGGAAAAATAACAATGAACTTCCCTTACATGAAAACTCCTCCTACTGCAAAAATTGGCCCCCCAAGAGTGGGGCCAGTTTTGAGAGTGACTTTCTCACTTTCGGGCAATACCCAAGCTTTGCTAGGCACTGTAAGACAGACCCTCTCCTTCCTTTCTTTTGAACTACACAGAGAGGTCACCAGTAACAGTTATCCCAGCTCTCTCAGGAAGAACCAATGAGAAAATGCTGCAGGCACAAGAGGAAGGAAATTAAGCTTTCAAGACCTCATTTTGTTTCACCCTGAACATGTGGACTTCAACATGCATTAATTTGCCATCTAAGTGTCTGTGCGTGAGAACAGATTTGCAATGAATTCCCATCTCTTGCTACAGCATAGAATTAAATAAGTTCCATCAACAAGTTAAAGATTGTTAATAAAAATAAACAACTGAATTGTTCTCTATGGGAATGCTCCACGGTATGGGCTACACAAGCACTTACAACGGGACAGTCCGAAGCAGTTCCAAGATCCCTTGCCCATTCCACTGCTGAGCGGCATGCAGTTCCTCAGTGCAAACCCCAACAATCTAGAATAAATGAAAACAGAGATAATAAAACTGGATGGGAATTGTGCAAGAACTGTAGAGAAAACGTGCCATGTGGTGCTGGATCAAACAGTGCCGATACAGAGAAGCATCCTTTCCTTAAACTTACTAGATGAGTGAGGACAAATGGAGCCTGAGACAACAGAGGGATTCTGCAATTCCTTATGCCCTCTCTCTACACTTACCATGTGACGTGCCCCAGTCACATAACATGTAATCTTGCATGGTGTGTGTGAACTTTAATATGAGGAGGGTTTGGTGATAAATCAGGGTTTACTGAAGATCCACTGGTCTCTTCTCACTCCACAACCTAGTCCACACAACAGAGGACAGGTTAGGGTCCCAGCACATGCAAAACACTGCTCTGCTAGCCAACTGCTAGAGGCAAATGCAATACTGCACCAGCAATTTCAATCAGGCAAGGGACTTGCTGCCACCAGGGAATGCTTTGGTGCTCATAAATTCTTGACCAACTCAGTTTGCTGACTGGTTACATCTTACCCGGCACCATAAAGTAAAGCTGCTTACACATCACATAATCCACTCGTCACTGCAGGCAACTGCAGACTTCTGCCTTCCTGTATAAGGCAGGATGTGTTTGCTTTTCAGGATGGGAGCTGCCACACTGAGCAATACCAGATGTCCCTCTCACAGAAGCTGAGATCAGCTGCTCCAAATGAAAGGGTGAAACACCTTTCAGCTGATAGAGGAAGGCAGTTTCTTCCTGATCCATCAGGAAGATGCCTTTGAGCACAATGATTCACTCTTTGGGATGAAAAATCATTTTAGCCATGGCCTTCTATTTTCTTCCTCTGTGCTCTAAGCCTTTTCCAACAACACTGAATTTTTAGTCAAAATCTGTTCAACTGATGTTTTATCAGAAAACAGAAAAATTGAAAACTAAGTTCTGAAGAGTAGGAAGCAGAAGTGTATGATCTGCCTTTGCCGCAAGCGTGTATCCGCACTGATAGAGGTCTGCATGGAAAACTATCAACATCAGCATGTACCCAGCTCTGCACACCATACCTCCCCTGCCCCTTGCAGAGCTCACTTTCTCAGGACCCAGTGCTTGGAGATGCACTTCATCCCCACTCATTTTCCAGGCTTCCTCCATGAACAGCTTGAATCGCCCTCGCTTCAGCACACTCCTCCCTGGGCCTTCATTCACTAATTACACACAAACAGCAAGACTCTAAACAGGAAATTATTTTGTGTTCATTCTTTTCTTTTTGCAATCATTTATCCTCATGGGTCAAAATAAATCCATAACAACAATCATCAAACAGAGGGGAAAAACAAATCAACTGTAGTGTTGTGGAAAATTAGAGGCCAAGAGCCTCAGGATCCAACAAGTTGACTGTCCTTTGATCCAGGACAACTGGGCAATAAAGCAGAGATGTGGACTAATGCAGCACTAACCGGGGAGTCTGTCAGGAATCACCCTGCTTAGCTTGGCTCTCTATCTCTGCTTTCAGGTCCCACAAGGCACACATCACTGATTAATCCCACACCTATCTCTTTCTTGTTGATAAAACACAGACTTTCGGGCACCTCAGAAAATTCAGGAAAGCCTTTGCCCTTGAACAGCAGTTGCCTTGCGCAGGTCTGTGGTAGTGGAGCTTCTCTTTACATGTTGCCACTACAGTCAAGGACAAACAGGAGCAACTTGAAGCTTAAGTTGTAAAATACAGGCACTTGCATTTTCCCACAGGATGGGAGCTTTTCCACAGAGCAGAGAGAAATCAGCATTTGGTATAAACTATGCCAGCTCTTCCACTAAGGTTAATAACTCCATATGCAATTTAAAAATGTCCAAAGCAGCCCGCATTTTAAGAGACATCACTAAGCAGAAGGCCTTTCATAAAGCCAGCAAACCTGTTTGGCAAAGGAAACTCCCGTCACTGAAGAGTAGGGTTAGATCACAAGGGAATTTTTTAAATGTTTCTTTTGCAAAGCAAACCCAAACCTTTCTTAAAGAGATCAATCCAGGAAAACCCACTTAGCCTCTAAAAAAAAAATCTGTGTCAACAATGCAAGCTACATTTCTGCCATTAAATAATCCTAAAGCAACTCTGAGTCCTGCTCTAAACTTGTGTTTTCCTGAAACTCACTAGATCACTTACCGACACTGCCATTGAATTAATATGAATTTAGCTCCACATTACCTTTTAAAAGTATTTCTCTCCACCTTTTTTCCTATGTTCTTGTTCGACATTTCAGAGCAGTAATGTAATATTCAACTCCAGGTCTGTTTCAGGGTGTAAACTTTCCCTCCATCAAGACCTCTGACTTGAGAACTGAGGGTGTCATTGCTCAATCCTGGTAAAATGCTTACTGAATATCTCCAGAGTAACATCTCAAAGATGAGATTCATGGAAATCAATTAAGGAAGAAAGGTGGAAGACAGGATAATAAGCATCTGACTTATCAAAACTAAAAGAAATGTAACATTGGCCACATTCCACATCCAGGAGGTGACAGTCAGTGCCACCATTGCTGGGTCATACCTGTAGAAAAGTAACAACCCCGAAAGGGGTCTGCACTGGCTGCATCTGAGGGTCTTCTGTCAGTAACATATGCTGGATTCTAGATTCACTGTTGTCCAAAGGGCTGTGCCATGATACATGGTCACCACTGCAGAAGGTGTTTTCTGCAAGGAAGAGAAACAAGAGAAACAATTTAGCGTGAAGAGACTACTAGAATATTCCTTCTGTTACCATTTGCTTCTGACTGCTGTCAGGCAGGGTCCATTGGTCTGCACCAGGAAAGTCACTGGTGGCTATTCACAGTGACTGCCTCCAGCCAGCTCTTCTTCCTTGAAGCAGGAAAGGGGTCTCATTGAGCCATCTGAATTCAAGCACTGACTTTAAAATTATCCTCTCGAGTACTGTGGCAAAAAATAGTGTCCTGCTTTTATATTAATCCCAACACAGAAACATCAACAAATAAAATTAGCTTTTCTCTCATATACTATTAGTCTCATTTTGTGAGAGGGCACAGAGTCAGCAAGCCATACTGGATGTCTATGGGATGGCAATTCATACTTAATTTGCCGCTCTGATTTGCCACAGAGAAAATACTCTGCAATGTGAATTAAACACAAATAATACTCTGCTATATCTAATAAAAATCCACAGTCTGCAGCCCAACTTTTGATGGTCTAAGTCAAAGTCACTTTCTCTCCCAATTGTCTGGTGGCTTTGGTGCAGAATTGTAACTAATATGTTCCTTCTTTCCAAAACAATGAGAAAACCAGTAGGCTATAAATTTTACTCTATGTCAGAATAGCCTGCATCAAAACAAAAAGCCAGAAATGATCCTTCCCTCTTCATGACTGTAAGCATTCCTTTCTTTTCCTCCTCTCCTACTTCGAAAGACAAAACCCCCAGATAATCCCATGTTCCACAGCTGGTGCATGTCAGAAGAGCACACCAAAACCCATCTGTATTTTGCTGCCCCATCACAGGAAAGGCTAATGCTTGCTCTCTGAGTGAGCTAGAAGTAAAACAGCCAACCATGACCATTTTCACATCAATTAAAGCGTGTTCCATTTGCACGCAGTTCCTAGAGCACGCGTGCAATAACACTGCCTAGTCGACTGCCTTGTCCTGGAGTCTTGTGCTTGTCTCACTCCAGGTAGAGATTTATAGCACGTATAAATAAACAGTCTGGAATCCATATTCTGCCCTGATGTAGTGCTCCAGGGATGAACCGAGCGCTGCCTGCCTGTTTCCAAAGTCAGTCGCAAGTAGAGCACCTTTCTCCCTTTACCAAGATCATTGATGAAGCCAGTCTGGGCTGCTGCCCTCACTGTGGTCTCTCCGAAGGCCACGCTTACAGGACTGTGGGAAGAGAGGCCTTGCCCACTGGACGAGGACTAGGACTTCCACTGTGGACTGGAAAATATTAGTGGTTACTTGAGTTGCTGCCTGTAGAGACTGGAGCATCTCCTATGATACGGAGCAGGATCCAATTTAGAGGACTGTTCTCCTCTGCCCTGCAGCTATGAGCAGACGTAGTCCTGGATCTTTACCTAACCTTCCCACATCACCTTCCAAATACACGTCAACAGGACAGCTCTTAAATAAGTATCTGTAGGGTTTATCTGAGAGTCCTTGAACACGGCAGCTTCTGCAGCAGCAAAGAGAAATGGCATTTGCCGGTACGTGTAACTTCATCCCCAGTCACATGAAATGACTGACACTGAGGAATCAGGTCCTTGCATGCCACTCACTGAGCATCGGCACCACCGCGACAGCCCGCACGCGCTCTCGGCCAGCAGCAAGCGCAGGATGCTTCCCGGGAGACATCGGCGGCGGGCAGGTGGACTAGTGAGAGTTATCGCGCAGTTGCCGTGGTTAAAAATACTTGCAGTCATCCCACTGATGATCTCTCAGGTCATGCTGCCCCGTTGCTGGGCTGCAGGCAGGGCGTCCTGGGCAACTCGTGGTGTCTCCACCAGGTGTCCCCATCGGCGCGCGAGTGGGACTCTCCGGTACCTCTGGTTTGTCAGATGAATTTCTCATTTGATTAAAAATTAAAATAAACTCCAAATATTATCAGGAACTCGGTCCGAAAAACGAGGCGTGTAACAGAAGCGCTGTGATAAGCGAGGGGATATTTTCCTTAATTAAAATTAGGAAAGAAATAAAACCCAGCGAACGCGAGCTGCTGGAGAGTTTATCGTTATGTACGTTACACGCTTTCAGCTCTGCAACAGAAAGGAGTGCTTCAGATACTACTTTACTTTTAGAGTTGGAAAGATACAAGCAGATAGAAATCAAAAACATGATTTTTTTTTTTTTTAGTATCAAAGTCGGATTAAAGAAACAGCACTTAGAATGCTGCAAAGGATCTTGTGATATTTTCCAGGTTAGCCAAAACGTGGCTGATTAATTTTTTTTTTAAATGATAAAAGCCTCTCAGTCACAGTTTTCAGCAATGAAACAAAGCCACAAAGAGCTTATTCTTGGGCCCTGTCTTTATACCACAACATTTTGGCCATCAAATGCTCACACAATTCTATGCTGATCGATCCCTTCGTTTCACTGCTGGTGCTGCTTCTCCTGGGAAAGCCCAGCCCGTTTAGAGCAGGTTTTCAAATGCAAATGTCTCTGCTGGAAACCCACCTGTTTATGTCCATGTGAACACTGAACACTTAGAAAATCTCCCTCTCCCTTGCATGCACACGAACACCACAAAATTCACACTGACTACTCAATTGGATCACAAAAAAAAATTCTGTATATAACATGAAGCCAAATTAAAACCTGTAAGAAATTCAAAACTACAGCTGAAGCTCAGCTCTTTGCTTTACATGTACAATATGCATTGTAATCCATATGGAATGTAAGATCAGCCCTTGTACAGAGACCACTGCAGCACTCAGGACAGCTTGAATTGCAGAACTTGTAGCCACAGAAACTAAGAAATTACAGAAACAAAGGACTAGATAACTACTTTCTCTTGCTTCATACTGGAAATGGAGATGAGCATCCTCCCTTCCCATCTTTCACACTCATGTTTTAAAAACATGACAATCAGAATTTTCATTTAAGCTTCAAACAATGTTTTAACAAAAAAATCCTAAAGTTTTCATACATGATTCCTCCAAAGTAAATTTAGAGCTAAATTCAGGGCTTTCAGGAGTGCTGAATTACAACATGAAACATCCAGAAAAATCCTCAAAGTCATCACAGCACAGATGGATGTGAAAAGTCTCCTGTGGTTTTCAGACCTCTCCATCACTTGCAGTGCTGTCAACAACACACTTTGTACAATTTGTCTTTCATCCACAAACATGCACAATGTGATAGTATTTCCTACACGCACATACGTATTTCCATAAAACTAAGAGATGCGTAGGCACAGGACACATGCACTCATCGCAGGAACATGATAAGCACAAACACTTTACAAGGAGCAACACGCTTTAGTCAGACGTGCCTGAAGACAGCTCCTTTTGTTCCCAAAAATGCATCCCCATGTCTCCCATACCATGTGGACTAACTGGAGAAGCAGCCTGCCATCTCCAGTTTCTGAGATTTCTGTTTTGCATTGCTATGAACCAAGGATGGGACTAGGACCTTCACTGATAACAATACCAATACGGGTCTCAACGACATCCACGGTTTTATAGCCATAACTCTCACTACATATTTTGATGCCAACTGCAGGTATCAAGCGTGACACCTACACTCACAAAAGGAGGCTACTTATATACTAAGTACTTGAAAATACAGGCATGAAAAAAAGTATAGATATACACGTAAAAGAAATGTTGCATGCAAAAATAAAATATTAGAGGAAGAAGTTTATGTCCATAGGGCACTGACCCAGTCTGACGGAACTCACTGCTACAAGCATCCCAAAACAATTTCTTGTTTTAGGTCGAAACGTCACTCCACTTCCAGATAAGCACAGAATATTCCTTTGCAAATGATCTCAGTTTAGTAAACCTGAAAGTTTGCAGCCTCAGCTGCAAAGCTGGTTCCACAAGGATTCCATCACAACACTGATGCTGTCCCAGGCCCATAGAGATCAGGAAACAGCCTCTGCTTTATCCATGTCCATTTACAGCAACCATAGATCCAATACTTTTTACTCTTCACAAGCTCTGCTTTGACAACCCTTTTGACCGGCTGTAATGCTGTGCAGGTTAGCACACTGTGGCAACATTTCTGACAGTTTTTGAGGAGGGACCGAAGCACAATAGATGTTTCGAAAGTCCTCTTGCACTGTATTTCCTAATGAGATAAAACATGTTTGTGTCCAGAATTCAGGAAAAGGCGAGATGGCTTTCAGCAGCAGCTGTGAAAAATCACAGGCTACTACTGAACAAGCACCTTCTCTACTATTTCAAGAGGACAACGTTCAGTCTGCCAGGACTTGGGTATCATTTGCTGCTGCAGACTTCTGCCTCTTTGAACTTCTCTGTTACCTGACTCCACAGCAAAGCCACTGAGAGATGTGACATGTCCAGAAAAAGCATTTTATGTAATGGGAGGAGTCTGATGTATTCTTCTAATAAATAGCAAGCCTCAAACCGATGGCCATTTGGTGAGCATGGTGTTCCCATTCTCAGGAGTAAGCTTGGAGAAGACTTCTACAAAGAGGGGGACCAAGGACACTCTTTTCTCTGTGAGTTTCCACATTGTGGATGGATTCATCATTGCCTAAGGAGGAAGGAGCTCTAACTAAAGCTTGTAATGCAGCTATGGCACATGCAGGAGGACCCTATCTAGATCCACTTGTGTCTAAGGTCAAGTGTAACATATCTCCACTCTTCTCCGCTGCAGAGGGCACAGTTAGCATTTTTACTCACCTGCTTATTGTTACAATCCTTTTCAGAACCAAGTCTCTCCAAGAGCCTTGCCACTCTGTTAAGTCTGTTTGACATTGACCAACAGGTTCAAACACCATTATGGTAGCACAGTTATTATTCTAGGCAGGAAAACAGCACGACTGCATAAGCCTTTTTTCCTTAGGTGAGCACAGCAAAACCAACAGTCACCAGAAAAAGTTTCCAGGACTTCACCAGGGAATTGTCAAATGCGTAGCACAGATGGCAAAGCTCAGAAATGATCTAGCCATCGACAGGAGGAATTAAATAGCAAAGGAGCTGAAAGAAAATACGTTAAAAAATCAAAT